ATAAATAAAATTTTTGGAAATGGTTAGCTTGTAAAACGATTCACAAAAATGTCCAATACTTTTTTCCACCCTCTGTATGACTCAAAGCAAGACAGCAAAAGAGATAGCTAATCTTATAGTAGCTGAAATTGAAGGTGGGGATGATTATTCGTGGAAGTAAGTATCATCTCATTATAAGATACTTCTTAAATTATTGCTAACTTGATACTATTATTGCAGCTTTCTAAAAGCGGAAATGTCGAAAAAATTCAGAAACACAATTGGCAGATTTTATTATGCTTGTTGTCAGTTGAAAGAGGTGCAATGTGAAAATTATAAAGATTCCAACTGAAAATGACGAATACGTTATGGTTGCAAAGGAAAAGTTATAGTGCGAGTTGATTTGGTTTTTAATGCTGAAAAAGTAAATATTTATCATGGACATCTCCATTCATGCCCAAACCTCTACATTGAAATGCCAAATGAATTACGGGAAGAGATCAAAATGTACTCATATCTTACTGCAATAAAATTGAAAAATCACCTACGGCGTAAAGGATTTGATATCTTGAAGTATTCATCCAAGTGCCTTTACTTTTGGAAGTCAATTACGAGCCAGAAGTTATTTAAATGTTATGATAATCATATTAAATCCGTGTGCCAACTGCTTAGTGAGCATGAAACTCATGACTTCTGATGGTGCTTAAATATTAAAGATTCAGAAACCACCACCATCAGTTTTATTATCCCACTGTTAGAAGAAATTAAGAATCGTAATATTAATATCTGTGAGATTTATCTTGACGTGACTTATAAAACTACAAGAGGACATTATGAACTTTATGACGTCATCGTAAATGTTAAAGGCACCAGCTTTCCAATTGCTTACTTAATACTTGATACAAGCCAAGTAACGAACACAAGTATCAATACGGGTAGACGTCGTAAAGTTCTGAAGAGCTTCTTAAAAATCATAAAGGTACATGATGTCAATCCGAATTTTGTGTTTACAGACAAAGATTTTGCCAAAATTAATACTGTGACTAAGGTGTGGGGATCTTCAATAGTTCAGCTATACACTTGGCATATGAATCGGATCCTAAAACTTAAACTCAGGGAAAAAGTCAAGCTATCAAATAAAGCAGGGCATGAAGCATAACTACGTATAACTTATAATGTTAATCAAGCAATTGATGAGTTTGACTTTGTCGATCACACATTTTATCCAACAGATGAAGATCGTGATCTGAAAACATATATCATCTGTCCACCAGCATATCGAGAAATGATTTTGAAGCTTATGCAAAAACACTTCGATATGCACCCCTTAATACCTATCGATGCTCAGGGAAACACATTAACACCAACAGATATTAGAAGAAATGCTGTAAAGGAGATGTATCAATTATGCATCGAAAATTCATTGCGAATACTATGAGCATATCTCTGGACCAACTGGTATTCACCAGAGCAATGGCATCTGTGAGCACGATCAGTAAGATCTACTATATCTTTTGGTAAAACAACGATGAAGATTGAAGCTCACTGAAGCGTTATCAAACGATGCTATCTACACCATTTTAATCATCCTAGACTTGATTTGTTGCTTTGGACACTCTTCAACAAGATGATACTAGCGCAAAAAGAAAGACTTTTACAGATTCTGACTGGCATTGTGGCACCATGGTGATGGGATGATTTCAAAAAAATGTGAATCACTGCAGGTGCAAGAAAAGATCAAGATGCAATCAATGCTGATGAGTACACCAAGAACAAAAGAAAGAGAAGCACAGATGAAAAAATGACTCATTCAGAAAGTTTATATTTCACTGATACTGCTCGTTGGGTCTGCAGCTGTCCTGTCTTTCTTAGAAGCTGCTTCTTACTCTATAAGCACCTAGTTCAGCATGCTATTATTATACCTAATAGTGAACGACGATGATTAATACACGATAATTTTGAATGTCATATCATCTCACTATTTCTTACTCTAAAGAATCTTAAAAGCAATAAAATTATGTCTAACATCTTGTCCATCATACTCTCTGAAATTGCGGAAGTCCAAATTGTTGATTCCTTTGGCACTGTTGCTAACGTGGATGAAAATTCAGAAGAAGAAGCTCATTCTTATGTTGAATCAAATTGGGTATTGTTTGAACAAGCAATCAAGCGGATTCGCACTGAGAAGTCTGCGAATAATTGGCATCATGTTCGTGCTATAATGAAATAGAGTCGATTAGTATCAATGGAGAAGGAAATATAGATTACTGAAAGACAAAAACATCAGCAGATGACTCAGGCATTAGTGACTAGAAAGCTGTACTTGATGTATATGTCGTATCCAGACGAGTTAGGTAAATTAAGTTTCACTGAGAACATGCCAACTGATAACTCTGATATCGCGCAATGAACAATAAGATCAATCATGAGTATTAATATCAAAGAATTCGAAAAACATGACTGAGAGAGTTATAAAGCATTATATTATTGTACTTATCTAAAATTTTGTTAATAATTCATTATAATTAGTATTTTTTGTAAAAAAAAAAAATAGGTTAAAAATAGCCCAATTAATTTATTTACCTTCATATTATTAATAAAATTACTGGATCTGAAGGAAGAAAAGAGAAGAGCGTCACTGTATAATTAAAAATTAAATTGAAACATATATCGAAAGCGACAAAAAGAAATCTTTAACTTCTGAAAAAAGTAGGTTCAGTTTGAGTGGCTGGTTTTTGGTTTTCTCCTTGGATTTTTAACTCTATTAGAAACATATTTTGCTCTTGACAAACATTTATTTTTGGATTGGCTTCTTGTAAGACTAATTCTAATTGATAATTAATACTTTGCCTTAATTTGTTCTCTAATTATCGCTTTACTTCTGTGTCACAAAATCTTTGATTATTACGATTGCGGGTCAGAGAAGCTGGAGATGATTGGCAATATTACATGACCTGAAAAAGTAAGGGTCATCCTGGTGAATTCAAGTTCATGATCAGAAGCATCAGTATATAGGTAAAATTTTTGTGTAAAGTCAGGATAAATTAATATGGATACTGAAATGAGTTTTTGTTTCAGTTCTTGAAATGCTCTTTCTTGCTCTTGTGTATATATAAAAGTAATGTTATTTCGAAGTAATTTGAATAATGGTAATGCTATTTGTGAAAAATCTTTGATAAACTTTCTATAGTATCCAGCTAGTCCAAGAAAAGATCTCAATTGTTTCACTATTCTGGGTTGAGAAAAGTTTTTGACTTTTTCAACAATTGATGGGTCTGGTAAAATATCTTCAGCAATAATAATATGTCCAAAAAATGATAGTTCACTTCGAAATAAATTACATTTTTCTGGATTGAGTTTAAGTCCAGCTTTACAAAGCTTTTCAAAAACTTTTTGTAAGTGTTCTAAATGTTCATCAAATATTTGAGAATGAATATTAATGTCATCCAAATAGATCAATATGAATTGATACTTGTATTTAGCTAAAATAGTATCCATAGCTCATTGGAAAGTGGCAGGATCATTACACACTCCAAATGGCATTGAATTAAATTCAAACAGATCTTGCTTAGAAATGAAAGCTGTTTTTGACTTGCTATTTTCTTCTACTGATATTTGCCAATATTCAAAAGATAAATCCAATGATGAAAATTATTTTGAGTTTCCAAGACTGTCTAGCATTTCATCAATTCTTGGAAGTGGATATGCATCTTTTTGAGTGACTGAATTCAATTTTCTATAATTTATACAAAGTCATTTTTTTTAGATACTACAACGATTAGAGAGGTCCAGGGGCTTATTGGAGGTTGTATAATTCTAGCTTGAAGCATTTTTTGTATCTCTTCAAAAATGAATTCTTGATCTGGAATTGTTGCTCTATATGGATACTGTTTGATTGGAATGGCTCCATCAGTATTTATTACATGTTGAACACCTTGAGTATATTCAAGTTTACTGAATTCTTGTGTAAAAATATCTTTATATACTTCCAAAAGATTATTTAGTGACTGTTGTTGCATGATAGTTAATTCTTTTTCTTGTATAATTGGTTTTTCAATTACTTGTTGAACAAAGTAATTTTCTCTTGCAACTAAGTTAGTAAAACTGAAATTATCAGTTCCCCTCTCAGTATCACCAAGTTCTTCTCGAGTTGATACTGAAATTAGCTTTTCAACAGGTGCTAGTTGTAGAAAAACTACTTTTGCAATTCTAGTATTTGGAAGGATGTAATAGGATTGCTAAGAGTTGTTGTGAAGCAATATACTAATATTTCCAATGTATTCAGCATCAATTGTTCCACCTTGGATATTGATACCAATTTTTGCAAGTAAAGATCTTGAAAAGATTTGACAAACTATTCCAGTTGGAATTTCCATTGCAATTTTAATATCAATTAAAATTGTTTGTTAAGACAGCACAGTTAGCACTTCTGTACCAGAATAATACAAATCAAAGCCTACATCAGTGCTATGCATTCGTTTGGATATAATTCCTTCTTCATTGTCATTGTAAACTTTGAGACAATAATTCATTTCTTTGATTTCTTTTTTTTCTTCATAATATTCATCCAGGATTTCTTCACAAGTGTCATAATTACTTCTATTATCTTCTTCGACCAATTGTTGAGTTATTTGCTGAATTGACTGATATATTTCTTCAAAGATTTAAGAAATATTTCCAATATCAATTGGTGATAATAATTGTATATTATTTTGGAATGTTTCCAATATTTGTTGAGCTTCATTGAATAATTTTTGATGATGTTTATATTGTAATTCACTTGTTATGTCATTGATTTGATTGATTATTGTTTCCAGGTCATCAATATCTTCTTTTTGCTTGCCTTTATTAATAGAAAGTTGTTTTAACTGTACATAGTCAAAGCAAATTCACTATCACATGGAATTAAACATTCTTTACAAAGCTTGATATTAATATGTTCCAAATGAGCTAGTTGTAGCCTTCTTTCAGGTGTAATTTGTTGGTATATTGCTTGGAAGATTTCAGCAGCAGTTGCATCTTCTGGATCATCATATGAAATTGTGTCCATTTCATTCTCAATGTCTTCTTCACAAATATAGTGTGATAGAATGATCTTTCCAATCTCATTATATTAGATATATACTGAAGTTAATAATTCATAGTCTCTCAATTTTCTGACAGTGTTTCTATTTTGCTGCCATCCACCATGATTGAACCAATATATACATTGTTCAAAGTAGTCACAAAAATATTTCTTGTCATAACTACCAGTAATATACATATTTCTGGCTTCATCTTGATGTTTACAGTATGCACAAGGTGGAAGATTAAGTTTCTTTTCTTCATGATATTGTTCACAAGCTGTTTTGA